TTCCCCAGTGCCCAGCCTCTCCCCCTATCCACCGCTCCAATAGAAGACTAGGAGGCTGGGCACTGAGGAGCACACAGTGAGGGGAGGGTCGGGGGGCAAGAAAGAAATGGAATGATCAGGCATGATCTGTACAGCGGTGACAAGCAGCAATCTCCTGTATGGCTTTCAATGAAGCAGCTGCAAGCCGCTCTCCTCCTCTCACCTCAGCTGCTTCATTAAAGGTATACAGGTGATTGCTGCTTGTCACCGATACCCCTCCCACACATACCCCTAGTCTTGGCGCTGCTCGCCCCCACCTTATTTCCACTCGCCCAATGCAAGCGGGCGAGTGGAGATTTCGAGGGCTGTTATTAGCACTAATCCTTATATTAGTGTCACCAGTGATATAAATATCAGTTAGTCAGTTTCCACAAAGTGTCAGAATGCCTGCCATACTATCACAGTCCCGTTATAAGTCACTGATCGCAGCCATTACTAGTATAAAAAAAAAAAACAAATTGCAGTATATATCCCATAGTTTGTAGACGCTATAACATTCACATAAACCATCATCCACTCGCACCACCATTGTGTGTGACCTGTTACATTGTGTGTGACTGACGGTCTTATGTGGATGATGGTCCCATGATGTTTCTCCTGCAGCAGCAGGACACAATTTGAAATGGATTTTTTTTTTCTGTGAGCCCTATGTTATGGGTTCCCATGCTCACTTTGGGACAGATACCTGTCCTTGGCTTGCAGTGTGAGCGTATGGGTGTTTAAAGTTGATGCCACCCTTTTACCCACTGGCTTATTTTTGGCCGACGATATTTTTAAGGTCGCTCACATTGTAGATATTTCTTCTCTTTCCTTTTATGGTTGGTGCTAGTGTTTTTATAGCACTTCCTCAAGCTTCCAATTGGGCTACAATATTACTATAATTCATTAAACGAAGTGGATCCTGAAGAAGCTCTCATTTGGGTGAAATGTGTTAATTCTTCTTTCCTTTATCTGCTCAGAATTTATGGATTTATGATATACACTTGTAGCTGAAAGGGATTGTTTGTAGACAATTTAGAAATCTTATTTTAACTTGTAATAATAAATATTGCTTTTAAACCAAATTTTTGTAGTGGTGAATAGAGCACCTTTAAAAGTCCCCTCTGTTCCGTGACTGCCTTCCCCCTTATTTCTCCTTAGGGGTGGCTCAAAAAATTCCCTATTGCTGTATACAATGTTGCATGACCACGCAATTGTCTATGAAAGTAACATAGTGCGGAAAAGCAAAAAATGGCCTGTCAGGAAGGTGGTCAAATCTTTTGGAGGGCAAAAAACCTTTAGTTTACAAATAAACATTTAACACAGCGCGCACCCATGCCACTACTGCCACAGAGGTGGATTTTCTGAAGAGAGATCAAAGCAGAAGATGTTTAATTTCCAGAGGTCTCTCTTAAATAGAAGTTAGTATTGGAACCGTGCTGTATATTACAGCACTTCAGTGGAGGGGCTGTTGTTTTTATCCCTTTTATCACCATAAGCTATTTCCATATGAAAACACTATGTCCTTAATCATTTATTGTTATATACCACCAACCCTCTATTTTACCTACTTCTAAACCTTTGCTAACATACACTCCTACCCTTCTTAAGTGAAACTAACATGGCCCCCTCCATGCTTTACAGCCTGGCTGGCAAAATTTTCTTCAATTTAAGGTCAAACACCCAGGATATCCATAAAGAATATATGGCTCTGTTTAAGTCAATAGGGAGTCATTTGCAGAGGCATGGCCAGCACTAAAAAGTATTTAATTGGATGGGCTGCAAATAGTGGAGTAACACTACAGAGACAAGTAAGCAGCTTCAGAGTTATAACTGTGTTGCTTAGGGTGTGTGTATTTAAGGGGGGGGGGGGGGTTGCTAGCAAACGTTTAATAAAAATTTGACCTGTCCTATCCTGTTCTGACAAGTAGGGGACAAAGAAATCACTAAGACAGGTACAATTTCAGAGAGTTTTAGGCTTTCTGTTCTTCCAGCTCATTGTATCAGGTGACTGTAGATTAATCTGTATATGCATGAATTTGGTAAACACAAGGTAAGTGATTCTAATTATTTTTATAAAAAAAAAAGACAGGAAAAAGACACATGCTTCAGTTCCAATCTGGCTTATGGATACCAGAGGCAGATTGCAAACACCATCTTAATAACCCGCTTTTTGGGACATTGCCTAGTGATTCAGAAGCTTACAGGATGTAGGCTTACTTGGTACATGCTGTTGTCATCACATTGGTTTTTGAGATGCAATTTGCCAAAGTTAGACACTAACAATGAAGCCTTTTTTCTGATACAAATTATTCTCTGCTAGGTAACAACATTTCACTATAATTTGATGCTTCAAAACATTCCAGCCACCATATCCTTTTACCAGTTACGCCTATTATTTTCATTGGTACCAAAATACAATGTCAATGAGAAGAGCAATTAAGCAACTGTACACAACTTTGGATGGGGGAGACTAGTAGAAACATAAGCCCCAGAGCCTAAGAACATTTTTACAGTTATTTTACTTAATAACCAAACTACTTAGACCTATGAACAAGTTTAAACCTTTGAAAACACTCCCTGGAGATACACATTAGTTCTCATTGAAGGCTTTAGGAACAGACTGAAACCAACAGACCTTCAAAAATGACAGTAAATGCAAATGTGATGTGTGACTAAAGTTAAATTAATGTGCACTTTGCATGTGTATGTTCATCTGCTCATGAGTATGTACTGCTTTGGAGAAAGGGGGAGGGGGTATATTGAACCTGTGGCTTTGCCTGCATTGGCAAAGAATAAGTTCACTTTAAGCAGCATTCATCTGACTGTCTTTATCAGTATATCTATAATAACTAGTAAGCAGCTCATGGGGCCCCCAGCAATAGGGGATCATGGGGCCCCTGTGTCCTTGCCCAAACTCAAAAAAAGCCTATTAAAAAGGTACCAGGGGCATCTCATGGGGCCCCCTACTGACCCCGGCCATCTGGCAGTGCCCGAGTTTCCAAATGCTCAATCCGCCCCTGCTAGTAAGATTCCATTTTCCCTAATATAGTTATTTAATATTACTCCTATTTTTAGTGCTGGTAAATATGTTTTTTTTTTCCAAAAGAGAAAACATGTTATTATCTTAATGCAGCCCAACCATTTCATTAAACAGCATAGCAAGACATATTTCTCAAGTCATCTTCCAGGAAAAGAGCTTTTCAAATATGATCACTTTATTCACAACATATATCTTGTTTTACATTTAATTGGACACTGACTTAAATCAAATTGCAATTAGAATTTAGTTTAATTGCATAATGTTTGGCAAATGGAAGCTAAGAGATTGTTATTTCTTGGTGGTGATTGAATCTGCTTCTATCAAGTTCTGAAGACGAATGCTAATACAGTAGATGAAATAGGAATAATTTAGTGTTATGGGTGTGCACTAAAACTTTCTGGCAAACACCCATCCATAAAGAAAGTTCTGTGATTTCCCAATTAGATATTCTACGCTGTAATGCAAAACAAATTTTAAAGGGAAAGAAGAGAATATTTTCAGTAATTGCAGTGCTCACATTTTAATATGGCTTTCATGTTTTAATATTGCTTTTAAATGCGAAAAAAGTAACACAACCGACACTCAATATATACAATTTTGTTTTTGAGTTTAGATATACGTTAAAAACTGCTGTGTGACTTTTAACCATACAGTAAGAAGTCACACTGTCCGAACATACAGTAATGCACAACCTCTGTGTGGCACTGCAATGTAGAGCAAAACCCTGCATGTGGAATGAACAGTGCTAATTTACAATTACTTTTACTAAATTCCTATTTGTATTTTTGTGAGTTCTGTAGTCAGTAGTGGGCTGTCCTCATCTTAATTGTACCTCAGCAGAAGTGTCCTTCTAAGCTCAAAGAGTATTTGTTTGTTCTGCCATATGCTGTTTGAGTTTGCCCCAAGCAGGGTGTGCTAGAGAGATATATTCTGTGAAGGGTTTTGATCAGGGGCAGACTGACAACTCATGGGGCCCCCAGGCAATAGGGGATCATGGGGCCCCTGTGTCCTTGCCCACACTCAAAAAAGCCTATAAAAAAGGTACCAGGGGCATCTCATGGGGCCCCCTACTGACCCCGGGCCCTCGGGCAGTGCCCGAGTGCTCGAATGGTCAGTCCGCCCCTGGTTTTGATAGCTTTGGCAGTTTGTAGACTTGGGGAATTGCTATATATTCTGGGAGAACTTTAAAAAACTGAGGAAATTCCTTGTCTCTGCTTTCACTCATGGGCTTTTACCCTCTGAGGTCATAATCCTAATTGGTGCCTCCTAGGCATCAGGCCTAGACACATGGCAAGATGCAGAGATGTTCCCTCCTGGGAGGAACTCCTGAAGGTATTTGACTGCAGGAAGAAAGGACTAAAGGCCTTGGGTAAGCAAGCTATGACTGTCCCTCCATATATAAAGATGTGGAGAGGTATGGTTGAGTGAGAAGTTATACACAGGGACATTTCCTTGCTGTGCTTCCCTGGAAAAGAAGACTGAGATATCACTTGAACCTTAGTCACTAGGGATGCGAGGTTCTGAAGTAATCCAGTCGGCACAGTCCATGATCTGAAGGTAGCATCCAGAGACTCTGAGAGATCTAGAAGATCTTGAGGCCTTCCAAATGTGTCTGGGACTTTATTGTAAGTAAATAGACTGACAGCATTTGGAAATGTAGCTGTTTGATAGTTGAAAATCAATACCTGTGCATAATTATTGAAGCTCAGTACAATTAGCTGCGCATACAGTATTATTACAAACTAAACATAGAAACAATATGGTGAAATGTATTTAACCGCCTCCCACCAGCCATATAAGGTAATGACGGGCGCAAGGAGGTTCTCTCGTTCTGGGAGGACGTCATATGACGTCCTCCCACTCTAACTGCACGCGCGCGGCCCCGGGAGCACGCAGCATGGCGATCGGTGGTACGCTGTGTCCCTCGGACACAGCGGATCACCGATCAATGGAAAGAGCCAAAGATGTCAGCTCGGTCATGTGATCAGCTGTGTCCAATCACAGCTGATTGCATGTAAATAGGGAAATGCCGGTTATCGGCATTTCTCTCCTCACGAGCTGTCACGCTGACAGCTCGAGAGGAGAGCCGGTAATCGGCATTCCTCAGAGGGGACATGTACACTGATCATCAGGACATTGATGATCAGTGTCCCCTGATGATCAATGTAGCCCCAGCAGTGCCACCTGACACTGCCCATCAATGCCAGCTGTCAGAGCCCATCAATGCCACCTGCCAGTGCCCATCAGTGCCACATCAATGCCACATATCAGTGCCTACCAGTTCACATCAATGTCACATATCAGTGCCCATCTGAGCTGCCTTTCAGTGTCACATATCAGTGCCAGTCAGTGCCACCTATCAATGCCAGTCAGTGCCACCTATCAGTGCTGCCAATCAGTGCCACCTAGCAGTGCCAGTCAGTGCCACCTATCAGTGCCAGTCAGTGCTGCCTATCAGTGCCAGTCAGTGCTGCCTATTAGTGCCAGTCAGTGCTGCTTATCAGTGCCACCTATCAGTGCCATATATGAGTGCTGCCTTTCAGTGCCCATCAGTGATGCCTGTCAATGCCCATCAGTGTCACATACTAGTGCCTCTTCATCAGTGCCCATCAGTGCCACCTATCAGTGCCCATCAGTGCAGCCTATCAGTGCCCATCACTGCAGCTAATTAGTGCACATCAGTGAAGGAGAAACCACTTACAAATTTTTATAACAAAACTAAGAAAAAATGTTTTTTTTTTCCCAAAATTTTCAGTTGTTTTTGGTTTGTTTAGCAAGATAATAAAAAACCCAGAGGTGATTAAATACCACCAAAATAAAGCTCTATCTGTCTCAAACAAATGATAAAAATTTCATATGGGTATAGTGTTGCATGACCGCGCAATTGTCATTCAATGTGCAACAGCACTGAAAGCTGAAAACTGGCCTGGGCAGGAAGGGGGTATAAGTGCCCTGTAGGCAAGTGGTTAAAGCCAAAACTCTGTTTAATTTCAGACAGAGTAAGGAAGGGTTAGATTCCATCAGGTTTTTAATGCTGTCTGTGCCTCCTTGGGAGATCCAAACATGAAAAGTTGTTATCAGAACAGCAATATAAAAGAAACCTTCACCTGTTGTGGAGAAAACTTTCTAAGGGCATTTACCTCACTTCGGAGAGATATTTCCTTACTTACTGTTATGTCTATAGGACAAGAAATGAGAAGAAAACTTCCCAAAAGGGAACAGAGTGAAAAAAGGAAAGTTTCACTATATCCTACTCTTTCCCCTCCCCCCCAAAAATGCTAAGATATGTTTTAAAACTATCAATAAAATTATCCATATCACGCAGATTTTTGTTTTATATGTTTAAAAAAATGAAAAATCTATACTATCCTTTTAAAGTATAACTCATACATCATATCAGAAAGCATGGGATTTTAGGTCAAGCAGTACAGAATCACTATGTGAAGAGTGGTAATCCAAATCTCCAAATAATTAACATCAAATTATATTTAAATTTTTGGTAGTTGTAGTTCATTTTTTCTTTCAACTCAGTGGGCTGAAGGAACAAAACTGAAGAGCCTGGGAGGAGCTTGCTGTACTAACTATGCAATGTTAGTACAGCGATTTCCCTACTGAGCTATTGTGTTCTGAAATGGGGACTGCCACCCTGCAAGAACATACTGGTCAGCGCTTGCAGCCATTGCTGCCAGCACTGATTGGATGCCGATTGGATGCTGGTTTTCCAATATGCCAGTATGACAGAAGCCAGTCATTCGGCAGGCTTCTGTCAGACAGGCTGGTGTACACATGGGCCAAATGTTGTCTGATTTCTGTTGAACCGGACGATACCTGCCAATATGGATGCTGGTTTTCCAACATGCCTGTTCAACAGAAGCCAGTAATTTGGCAGGCTTCTGTCAGACAGGTTGGTGTGCACACAGGCCAGATATTGTCTGGTTTATATTGAACCAGCCTATACCAGCCAATATTTGACCCATGTTTACAGGGCTGCACCACTTTTCGTCCAGCCCATGTACATAAACGGTCGGACAGGAGCAGTGCAGGAGCGGGTTGCCGTTCATAAATGGCGCCTGCATTTTCAAGCTGTGCGTGCTCCCTGGGAGTGCGCAGCGCCGCGATTCGGTGCCTGCTGTGTCCGTTCGCTGTATGGGATCTCTGTTTGAGGTCCCGATCATGTGATCACTGATTGGTCAATCAGTGATCACATGAATAGTAGTAAGCAAGATGTCACTTCTGACATCATTGCTTACTACTAGTGAAATCTGTGAATGATCACAGAGATCACATGGTACAAGGCTATTCACAACAGCCTTGTACCATGTGACAAGCTGTGACCAATCACAGCTCACACAGTATTTCTCAATGGCTGTAAGAGTGCAGCCAGAGAGAAGGAGAAATGATTGCATTTACAGCCTTTATGGGTGTAAAAGCAATCAGTGTAAAAAAAAATCTTCATCACCCCCCACAAGCACTATGGTGACACTGTACTGCTAGGGTGACAGTATGTTAAACAAACCCCCAAAAACATAAATAATAATCTAAAAAAAAAGTAAAAAATGTTTTTGAAAAATTATAATTTTTGGTTATAAGTTATGAGTTATTTTTTTTTACTAAAAAGATAACCACATACATTTTGGCCAAGATTTATGAAGAAAGATTATTTATTTGTAAAATGTTATATCATTTATATAGCAAAAAATATAAAAATCCCAGTGGTGAATAAATACCACCAAAAATAAAGTTTTATCTGTCTCAAAATAATGTTAAAAAATTCATATGGGTACAGTGTTGCATGACCGCACAATTGTCATTCAAAGTGTGATAGCACTGACAGATGAAAATTGGCTTGGACAGGAAGGGGGTAAAAGTGTCGAGACTTGAAGTGGTTAAGAGAATAAATGCCAAGTACATGTTTTCACTGCAAATAACCTTCTTGATCCCCTTCAATCTGAGATTTCGCCTTCAACACTCCACAGAAACTGCTCTCCTAAAACTTACAAATGATCTGTTAACTGCTATTTCGCCTTCAACACTCCACAGAAACTGCTCTCAAACTAAAACTTACAAATGATCTGTTAACTGCTAAATCCAATGGACACTATTCTGTACTCCTACTCCTGGACCTCTCTTCTGCCTTTGACACAGTTGACCACCCCTCCTCCTCAAAAAACTCCACACCTTTGGTCTCCGTGACTGTACTCTTCAATGGTTTTCATCTTACTTATCAATAAATTACTAACAGACTTATCAGCCTGGATGTCACAACACTTCCTCAAACTCAATTTATCCAAAACTGAGGTCATAATAATCGCCTACTCTGTTTGGTTTTAGACATTCCCTAAGAGAAGCCTATTCTGCCCCCACCTAACAACTGGAATTTTATTTTCTCCATCAGCTCATGCCCTACAGCTATTACCTTTTGTATCACTTGACCCTCCCTCCTAGATTTTAAGCTCTAACGAGCAGGGCCCTCTGATTCCTCCTGTATTGAATTGTATTGTAACTGTATTGTCTGCTCTCATGTTCATGTAAAGATCTGCGCAAACTGTTGTCGCTATATAAATCCTGTATAATAACGTTTTAGAGTATACCCATATGTAACATGAAGCATGGTTGCATCCTCAAAAAACAAACTGCCACAGCCCCTCATCCTTATCTGACTTCCATGTGCTTCTTCTTTTCCCAACAGTTTTAAGATCAGAAAATTGTAATAATGTGGATTTAGCATGGTTTTTGTGTGTGGGAAGACCCAGGATATGTCTGCACAGCTGTTTCATCCCTTGGTGTGAGATCACTCCATGTGAAACTGTGTTTTGTTCTTACATGTTTTCCATCTGTCATTTACCAAAAGGGACTATGCAGGTCATGCCAGTGATGTAACTTGCTTCCCTCTCTTTGCTCTGTAGTCTGTACCTTTATATGAACCTGAGGACAATGGGGGCTGCTTAACCAACAATGCAAGATCCGCCTGTGCATTGCATCTGGGATGCAAAGGCTGATTATGGGTGATATGCTCTTCAGGCTTCATTGCAAAAATTTGTAAATGCATATTATGCAATAATTTGATCAATTTTAGAGTATACCCATATGTTGCTGCATTTACTTATTTTTGCAAAAGGTGGACCAAGCCTACAATTGTAATTGGCCATTGTGACATTTTGCCCTATTAAATTATTGTTTGAATAAATTGTTAGCAATACAATGAAGTTGATTTACTAAAATCAAATAGGTTGTTCACTTTGCAAGGAATTCTGTTCACAGTTTCACTTTGCAAAGAATACCCAATTATGATTAGATGGTGGAAGTCAGCAGAGCGTCACCTCTCATTCACTAAGTTTTGAGGCAAATTCCCTTGCAAAGGGCAACTTTCCTTGCAAAGTGTAACTTTGCCTTAAGTAAATCAACATGTACTGTATGCCTTCCCCTGAACGCACATGGTTTCAGCCCTGCCTACTTTATTTCTGATGGATTACAAAGCTCAAAACCTCTTCTTATCCCTCACCCATTTCCCTTCTCCTGTAATAAACAAATAAAATATTTTCAATGGTATAATTAGCAGACCAAAAGGGAGCAAATAGGAGAAGTTCATTGTTAGAGTTTACATACACTTTAGGCATACAAGTTACATTGGCCATATAATGTATTAGGCTGTTTAATACAAAGGTAATATCCAACAATCCTAAAATGTTAAAAATGTTTTCATAGATTATGCGCATTGATACCAAGCTGATCAGTGGATCACAGTGGAAATAAAAATTGCCTTCAAATATCAAACTCACTAGGCTTTCTTTGCTAAACATATTTCTGCCCTTTCATGATGTCCCACAACTATTCTTGACCCAAACAAGGCATGGTCATAAAACCGTAACTTTTGCAACCTTAAATTCTCTGCGCAGAAGGTTTGTGTCACAAGCTGAGATGGAAACCCTGTTCCTCTGTGAGCTGGCTTTCTATACAAGTGGAATCTAAGTGACAGTTGGTGTTTCTCCAGGGACCCCTTGTGGCAATGTGGACTTTGCTGCAGGCTACCCCTAGGTAATACTTACTCACAGAAGTTGAGAAGGGTTGGTGCCAGGTAATGGGGGATTAAAGCAAGAGAGAGGCACAAGGCATTGGGAAGTTGGAGGTAGGTATGAGGCTGTGAATGAAAAAAAAAGGCACAGCAGAGATTCAGACTTTGGATGCAGAAACATCTGATGAAGGTCCAGGATTGTTCTCTAGGCTGTAGCTTTCCTATTTCAAAAGATAATAAAACTTGCCTACAGAAAACTTGAGATTTGCTGTACTTTGTATTTCTGGCAGGAAGCTGCTGGAGGAGAAACAACTTGAGTAGGGAAAGATAATGTGATGAGAACCAATGGTTTCAGAAGAGGGGCATGAAAGGAAATGGGTACTCAGAGATGAGGACAGGATGGATCTTAGCTGAGATTTCATAGGCACCGATACAATGTAGAGCAAACTTACAGAGGACATGGTTTTTGTGGAGAGCCA